AAAACCGCCATAACTGATGCTAAAACCAAGTTTTATACTCACGACCTCCCCAACATTTTAACAAATAAACCCAAAAAGATCTGGAAAGTGGTCAACTTAGCTCTGTCTCATTTTTTGCAGTTCATAAACGACCGCGGCATCGCACTTTCAGATGAAGATAGCGCTCTTTACCTAACAATTTCTTCACATCAATATTTACTAAAGAAGACTTTCCTAAACGTTCCCGACTCATGCCCATTATGTCAACCTCAGATGAATCCTGTCATAATTGACCACACGGGCGTGTTGAAAGCAATAGACAACCTAAAAGTCTCTTCGAGTTCTCGAGATGACCAAATTAATTCGAAGGTATAAATAAACACAAAACACATTTCCTCTGTTTTCCTCTGTGACGTATTCTCACAATCACTCACGCTTACCATAGTTCCACGTGACTGGAAAATAGCTAACGTAATACCTGCTCACAGAACTGGTGATCGCCAACTCATAAGTAATTACCGTCCCATCTATCTCACCAGTGTTCCATCTAAGCTCAGGGAGCATATACTTTACTCAAATGTAATGAACTTTCTTGACTCCCATAACCTTCTTTTTGAACATCAGCACGGATTTCGTAAATCTTACTCGTGTGAAACCCAGCTAACCGCCTTCCTTACTGATATTTATTCAAGCTTCGATTCGAATATTCAGACCGACGCCAGTTTTATTGACTTCGCCAAAGCATTCGACCAAATTCCACACCAACGTCTTTTAACAAAGCTTAACGATATTAATATTTACCGCTTCGTTGTTAAGTGTATTTTTGAATTTCTAATTAACTGTAAGCAATATTCCTCCGTTAACAACGTAGAATTTCTCACATCTACCGTAAGGTCAGGTGTCCCCTAGCGAACCGTACTTGGCTTCTTCTGTTCCTAATCTATATTAATGTTCTCCACCTTAATGTCGCTTCTTTTGTGCACCTCTTCGCCAACGATTGTGTAATTTACCGACCCATCCTTTCATACCATGATCATCATGCTCTCCAAGAACACCTTGAGTCTGTAATTCATTGGTGTGAAAAATGGCAGATTACGTTAAACTTTAATAAATGCAGATCCCTATCATTTTCCGAGAGTTCGCGTACCACACCATTTTCGTATTACCTCACTAACAATCAAGTAATAGCATGCTCATCTTTTAAATACCTGGGTGTTCATCTCACCTCTGACCTACCATGGGCTACTCACATAACTTCTGATATTTCTGATACTAACCATTCTCTCGGATATTTTCGCCGTAACCTCAAACTTGCTACACCCTCCGTAAAACGACTAGCGTATACTACTCTTAAAAAATTGAAGCTAGAATACGCCTCATTCATAGGGTCTCCATGTCAGACCTACATCGCTAAAAATCTAGAATCCATCCAAAACAGAGCCCTTCGTTTTATTTATAACAACTACTCACCATATAACAGCATATCAAGATTACGCCAATTAGCTAACCTTCACTCACTTTCCTTTTGCCGCCGAGTATCACGCCTTTCTCTCCTCCATCGAATTTTTATCGCAATAGCCACCTCAAAGAATCACTGTTATAACCTCCCCATCGTATTTTCCCGCGTCTAGATCACCTATGTAAATTACGTCCAATTCAATCATCAACTGTGTCTCACCAGATTTTCACACTACCATTGGCCATCGAGGATTGGAATTCACTAGCTCACAACATCGTTTCTATTAATGATACTACTAAATTTGTTGAAGCCATTACCCTTTCTTAATCTAACCTACCTAGTTAGCTTACAGTGATATAATTGTGTTTCTTGTTCTATCTCTTTTTTTCTATTGCCACCCCCTTGTATAATTCCCCACGGGCCCTCAAGTAAAATAAATGATGATGATGATGATATGCCACACACAGGACAGACCCATGAACGCGGGCACAAAAAGAGTGATGAAAATTGTCAGTCGGAGTTTGGTTAAACTTTTTTTTTTCCAGTCACAAACCCTTCAATGAGTGGAATCCAGTCAGGCATGGATCGATGGGCCTTGTGGGCCTCAACGAAAGGAATGGCCCTCTCAGGAAAGTAGTATTGTGCTCCCCGCACATCAATGTCAGCGTTACGCACGGCAACCCGTGCCGTGCAGATGCTGTGCAAACAGATGAGCATAGCACAATAAAAATGACTGTCTACCGACAGGAACCTAATACCATAAGGGTATAGCGGGAATTTTTGCTTCAGGGTCCGCTGGAGAATGTCCCACACTAACAGAAAGCCTTCATCCCACCATTCTATGAAGACATGCTGAACTGTATCCGGCCGCTTACAAAGTGAACGATGCGTAACCCACAGAACAAACAGCCCTTTTTTTCATCCGTGTCTTCTGCATTGGTGTACCGGTGTGAAGTTTAAAGAAAAGAGTCTTCACACCGGAAAGTACCAGCATCCTTTTTACCCGCTCTGGAACATCCTGTCATGGCCCGTTACAGTACAAGGCTCTATACATAGGCACAGGAAAGACAACCGGCCACCAATCCTCCTACTATAAAACGACCATAAAGAAAAGCATGAGGTATAAATGGGCAAGAGGAATGGGCCCCGATGCTAGAAGAGTGAGCGAGTGCCCGTCACAGGGACTTTTCTTTCCAGGTCGTCCTTTGCCGGTTAGGGAAGGGCCGTGTATGAGTACAACGCCACGACGGCAGTGGCTTCTGGGGAACCCTCAATACAGAGCACGCTCTTTTTCGTTGCGTGTCCGCGAATGTTTGTGAGTCGTGGCAGCTACCACCGCCAGCTGCAGCTGCCGCAGCCATCCCGGCCATCCACGTCGTTGGCGGCGCACCGTATCTGTGCTGCCTGTGGTACCCGGGGCGATTCTGGTTTGAACACGTCATGCGTCGTAACTTACCCTCACGTGAAGCAGTGTCACCGAATCCGGTTATTTCGCACCGCAATCGTGGCAGATTCGACTATATTCGACAAAGCGCTGGTGTAGCAGGTCACGTCGCCGGTACAAAGGAGAGGAATGAGAACGGAGCCGCCTCGCATGCTACCCAACGCGATGCCCTCTCCCCCATTTTCGTCCGCTCGTCCCGAGTCGGCTGCTCGAGCGAGTAATGCCTTTCGTCCTAAATAAATTGTAAATGGTCGTGCCAAGCATGGCATCGGGACTGTGATGACCCGAGCACATTGAGCGAATAGGGTAGAGGTAGCAACGCTTCGCTTCCGCAGGTAGAAAATTCAGTGCTGTTATCGCCTAAGAGCCAGCCCTTTCTAAATAAAGAATTTCATCATCACGGACAACAACGACGTTCGACGGTTGTCAGCGACGGGGACAGATATCACAGCTAAATTTCTCATGTGTAAGAATACACTGAGAATTGCGGTGACTAGAGCGTTTTCTTTGTTTGTTTGTTTTCAACAACGTAGCTAGCAGTATTCGAATGCTGAGCTGTGAACTAAAAACTAATAAATGTGTTGAGCTTCTGGGATAATTTAGAATTTAAGTAACGCAGTATTCGTAAGTTAGCAATACATTTTCTTAACTTGGATACTGTTACATTTCGGGAGTAACTTATGACCGCATTTGCTAATTAACCTAATTACATTTTAGCGGAAGACCGGAATTCTAGCCAAATTAATCTTTAAGCGTAATTTGGGCGGCTCTGATCTGAATTGACATAACAAACGGCTAATTTTTTTTTTTTTTTTTTACGTTTGTATTTATACAGCGCAAGGTCGGTTTGCCTTTGTGGTGCGGCGATGCTGCATGGTTTACACTGTAGATGAGAAATTTGACCAGTGCATTGTGACTGCCAGCTTGGGGTCTTTAACGTGCATCACGCAGTAGCGATACACTACTACAGTGTACTAGAACACAAGGTAGTGTTTGGACCGCCTCGACTCGACAATGGGAACTTCTGAGGCTGCGCGTGGAGACAACAATCGCGGCGCTGCAGTCGACAAGGCAGCAGAAAGTCGCTGCAGTCCGCACGTGCCGCTGCACGTGCGCGTGCACGCAGTGCACGTGCGCAACCATCACACTGACCCTGCTGCCGCAGAGCCGTATATGTAGAGAGTTTGGCCATTCGTTGGGAAGTATAGACACAAATAAGGAGGCGCCATTGGCCGAAAGCGGGCTGGGCGTGTTCCAGGGCGTCTTCAGAAATTCGAATGTGACCAACCAGAAGCCGGAAATAATACCCTGGCGGTGGTCGCGAGAAACAAACCTGATAACTGCATCAGAGTAACTCTCGATGGCTGAAAATATGGTACACGTGATGTTTCAATCACGCTCATCCAAAATGATGGTGGAAGAGTGCGACTAGCGGAACGATCGACATAATCTGTACGCCAAGCGCCCAGGACCGGGAATCTGCCGTCCGAGCGGTCACACTCTGTCCGCGCAAAACAGGGCTGAGCGGCGCATTCGTTTCTTACATCTTTCTGCATGATCATGATGAAAACAACAAGTGCACCCTATTTTCAACCACGAAGAGTTACTACACTTCACTCTTACGCGCTTATTAAAACCATATACGAACATAGACCTTTGATCAGACTGTTTCTCACTACCACCGCTAGGGGATTCTTTTAGGCTTCTGGTTGGTCAAGAGAGCGTGCCAAGCCCTCTTTCCGAGTCTGCCGCAAGCCCTGGCTCTGCCCGCACCTCTCATTGACCAAACTCTCTACATATACGGCTCTGTGCTGCCGATGCGCCAATGTCGACGTCTATCGCAATCTACACCAAACGCCTCGACCGAGCCGCTCCGGTCCCAACACTTATATTATTATATAGTGCACTGTAACACAAACGCACACAGGTACCATGCTCATGCATCCAGATCGAAACGGGCAGTGTGGGGATTGAAGCCCGGATGCTTGAGGTTCTGCAGCGCGAGCTTTCGCTCCACGTGCTCCGAGCCGCGGGGCACACTTCAGGATTATAAGAATTCGACCATTCCTTATAAATAAACACAGAACAAATAAACATAAAGAGGACAAGAAACATAAGTCTCCACCAACACGCTCCTAACGTTTTAATTCAACAATTCCATCCCTGACTATGAGTGCAATGTAGCTGTGAACGTTCTGGCATCATCAAGTAACCGCAACGTTTTTATACTTGCAGCTGAATCGTTTTCCAAATAATTACCTATTTCTCAGATCAAAATTAGTACATAAACCGCATTCTGAACTCTGCGATGCTATAACGCCATCATTGGCGTCTCTGCTTTGACACACTGCTATTGAAATATAACCCTGTCCGGCAACGCAAATTGTGATACACATGCCTACGGTATGTCACTGTCTACTGATCATAACCATTATTCTCAAGACCATCATGGTCAGGGCTGATATTCAACGCCCCCACGACATGAATCGGCCCAAGCACACACGACAACATGGTGGTCACAATTCTAAACATTAAATTTGAACATGGTTCAGCTTAACTTTATAGTTCAATCATGTGGCAGAACCAAGATCAGGGTAAGCATTAGTGTAAATCCTACGATGACAGCCAGCAGCCGGCACAGCCCGGACAGCGTGTCGTTCTTCTGGCGTTGCAGCACCTCGAAGAACGTGATGTAGATGAGGGTACCTGAGGCTATCCCGTTGAGCACAACGACGACTATCGTGTCCTCCAGGTTGTTCCTCGTGATGGCGCCCACTAGTGCTCCCAGAGGCGACATCACGGAGAAGACGAGCATCTGGATGACGACGTTGCGGGGCCGTACCCGACTGGCGCTGATGTCGAACCCGACGACAAAGGCTAGGACGTACTTGTGGAACGAGATGGCGAGGAACATGATCCAGGTGGCTCGCTCGCTGTCCTGGAGTCCCAAGGACAGTCCTTCGAACAGGGAGTGGAAAGACAGGGCAGCCACGATAAGGATGCCGGCGGTTGTGGCCTCGTGTAGCGGTGCCTCGTCGTCTGTGGTAGTCGGGCAAGTCTCTGTTTCGGGTTCCTGGGTTGTTTCTCTGTTCCCCTGGTGCTCCTGCAAGCCGCCCTGGTTCGAGTTTTCCCGCTCATGGCGACTGTGAATAAAAAAAGGTACGAGTTAGCCCTAGGTCATCACGTCATTAAGGTTTTTAGGGTCAAATACACGTCTCTGCTCTTCTATACTGATAATTTCCCTTTTGTAATGTTTCCTTTTATGAGTATTTGCACAATAAACTGCAAGTATGCAAAGACCGATGACCGCGCGATACCAAGACGTTCATAATTCTCACTTTCACGTAATAGCCAAGCAAGCACTGCGATTGTTTGAGTTTGAAAGCAAACAAATGTCAGTGAACGCAGCAAATCGGTAAACAACATCGTGGTCTAAATGCATGCATAGCAGACAAACTTGCCCATTGTTATCATGATTACTAATACAAGTGATAATAGTTGGAAGTAATGTGGTCAATTTACGTTTCGTGCTGGTTCGCTAAATTATGAAGTGAAGAAAATAATCATAAAGCAGAGCGGTTTGCTCAAGGTAGAAACATATAAACAAAAGTATAATACATCTGTAAGAACACACAAGGGTAGCACCTGTTGCAACTTTACTGCTGCTACTACCAGCTCCGGTATTATTGTGGTGACTGTACTTGGCATAACTTTTTCTGGTATTACCGAATAAGTGAAGACCGCGCGAGCACAGCTGTGATCAGCGCTTAATGTGTGCGAGGGCCCGGTATACCCAGAGCTTTGGCATCATTGCCAAGAAAACTGGTCCCGAAGTATACAAGGTGAAACAAGGAGACGCCAGGCTCTTTAAATCGATCGGAAATTTCGGTTTCTTAAACTATCGCGCTACGACTTTGTGCAACGTTGCCCACAGATGGTGCATTTTTTTTTTTTTTTTTTTTTTTGTAAAATTTGCAAAGAGCGAACTTACCTGCGGAAAAAGTAAAGAAAGAAAAAGGCTTAGCTTCTATGGAAATGCAGCGACGCCACCGTTCTGCGAAACAACACGGCGCCGTTTCGCAGGGGAGACAAGAGATGGCGCAAGCGGTCGCGACGCCAACTGCCGCCAATGAACGAGCAGACGACGCTGAGAGCCGGCGTCTTTATCAGACAAGGAACTACAGTTCCTTGCTGTTACCGCGCCTGTCTTTTTTGTTTCTGCGACTGTCGCCGCCTGCGGAACGCGCGCCGCTTTTGAGTCGAAAAGATCATCTGGTAAAAAGGCCTGCTCTTGGCGCCGTATGTTCGTTCGTTGGCGACGTTTAATGCGCCATCTCTTGTCTCCCGTGCGAAACGGCGCCGTGTTGTTTGCAGACCGGTGGCGTCGCTGCGTTTCCATAGGAGCTCAGCCTTTTTCTTTCTTTCCTTTTTTTTTTTTTATGATGCTTGAAGAGTGCCCTTCAGACGAAAATACTAATAATTATTAAAAACTGCCGGACTTTCGCTGGAAAATCTGAGGCACGGTGGAGTAGTGGTCGCGATAAACGTCTAAAGAAACAAAATAAATAGCCTAACGGTCGTTGGCGGCGTCATGAGGTCTCGCCGAGTGCGGAGTATAACGGTCTTGCAGTACGGTATATACTGTGCATTCTTACTTTTCTTTTCAAGAATTCTGACACCCAAGACTCCCTCCCTCCTTCGTTTCAACGCGTTGTTTGTTATTGAATTAACAAATCAGCTTCAAATGAGGGACGTGGCATCCTCTAGGGTAAAGAAACAAAAAAGAAAACAAACAAGTAACATTGCGAGCAACATTTTTCATCAAAGAACACGCCGCCCAAAAACTGCTCCCTCCTTTTTTTTTTTTTTTTTTTTTTTTTTATTCACTTTGTTACTTTATTTTGTTGTTGGGTCCGACTGTTCTCTTCTTTGTAACGATGCCTACCGTGGCAACCGTTCTGGTCATACGACTTCGAGTGATCCGCTGCGCTGAGCCCGTCGCCCGCCTGCGTGCATGAAGACGACTTACGCGCCAACCGCTCGTCAAGTGCTGTTACGTCAGTTATAGGTTCTGGTAGCGGTCTAAACGGCCCTTTTCAGGGCCCCCATATTTTGCAAATGGAGCTGTGTTTTGAATGCGGCACCCCGTGTCTCTGTAAAAAGTTCACAGGAAAGACCCAGCAAAGGTATGTAGTCCCCAACTTAGATATCGCGTGTTATGATTCAAATAAAAATTGTTCATGCTTATTTCGCGCCTTTGATCCCAATAAATGCCGCCGTTGCAGTCGTCCCGCGGTGCTGTTGCTCGCCCATTCGCCGTCGGCGTGCCTCAGCTTCGTTGTCTTTGCTAGCGGCGCACCGGCGAAGACGGCCTTTGATCCGAATAAATACCGCCGTTGCAGTCGTCCCGCGGTGTCGTTGCTTGCTCGATCGCCGTCGGCGTGTCTCAGCTTCGTCGTCTTTGCTAAAGGCGCACCGGCGGAGGCGGTTGATCTGTCAAACCGCGTTCGGCTTGCCGCTTGTGGCAAGTCAAGAATCCACTAACCATAGCGTAATTTACAGACCTGGTTTTTTAGGTCTTCTAGGTGCTATCGGCGGGAGCACGTGGACACCACTTCGTCGCTTTTAGCAAACATAGGATAGACAAAAGTTGGTGTCTTCAATACAAACCGTAGCGCCAGATCTATATCTAAACCACGGGAAGAATAGTCACTGTCGTAGCGTCTTGTAACTCCTGAGACGATTCAAATCTCGGTTGCAGAGAAGGACCGGTTTGCTCTAAATTAAACCAGACAGTCTTATCTCGAGTCTCAAGACAGTCTCAAGGCATGGCCGAGAAACTGTCCTGGACAAGGCCTACTCAGGTCGTTACTGCAGTGTCAGTACTATCACCTTTCCAAACAAGCGGTTCCCGGTAGATCCCAACATACAGGTGAGGCTCAGATGTAAGTAAAAGATAGCTCACCTCTCCACGAGAGCCGGAGAGTGCGCAAGACCATGACCCGCCACGCTGTGGTCATCGCCCAACCAGGCGTGGATGAGTTCTTCCAAGGCGTACACGGCCAGGAACCCCAGACAAATGACTCCCTCAGCAACGGGAAAGTCCTTGTTCAGCTTCTCGAATCCTTCTCGGACCTCTGGTATGAGGTGCAGGAAGGTCGTTGCGAAGAGGACACCGCCGCCCAGGCACACCAGGAAAGCTAACACTTGGGCACCACGCTGAATGGCACTCACCCGCCTTACCAGCCAAATGGGGAGGACACCGAGAAAGATTGTGCCAAAGAGGAGGAGCAAGGGGGCTACGATCTGCGCCACTTGAACCGCCATGTTTCTGTCGTCTCCAGGCACCTTGTTGAGGACGCTCCTTGGATGTGGACAACGGCTACTGGCGTGGTCTTGTCTGATAATGTTAGTTTGCGTTTGGCATAGTTAATGAATCCTTGACCTAAAAGAAAAAATAGATAGTTGAGTTACACTAAATGTCGCCTTATCTCGTACACACACTGCAAAAAGAATGGCCAAAGGTCGAGTAATAACAAACGCCTTCACTTGTTTATTAAGTAAAGATAAACTTTTGCGACAAATGGGCGCGAGCATATGGACTCGTGGACAACTTTCTGTATTCAGATGCGGGTGTGTCGGTGCGCCCATTCGCAAGTTCCAGCGAATATAGGGGGCGCTGCATAAATCAAAGATGGTGGTCAAGAGGGTAAACGGTTCGCCCGTAGGCATCGCAATTCAATAAAATCGACGTGTTTCGCAACACAAAATACTCTGCCATATTTTACTTGTCTATTTTTGTTAAGATGCACGGAATATTGATAACACATGTGAGAAAATCTTGTAGCTGGAGGTCACGCAACGCAAGGATGAAAAAAAATCGGCCCCGGCTTGGCCAAGAGGAGGTTGTTTCGCCGTAGGTATTTCGGTTCAGCAAGATCAACCAGTCTTCCTACACAAAGTGTAAAGCCATAGACAGTCGCGCAACGTAAGCATTTTAAAATAATCAACGCGCCCACATTGATACGCCTCTATTCAGTAGTGCGTATCATGGATGTTAGAGAGTTTTAGTAGATCGTTCTGATACCTCTAATAACGGTACCCGGTAAAGATACGATGCATGCGCAAAGGCGTCGGCGGAGTATCGGACATCGTTATGGAAGTTAAAGTGATGCTGTAGGCCGTTTATTTATATTTTGGAGGGGGGGGGGGGGGGGGCTGCTGTTATGTTGAATTCTGCCGTAGCTGAGTTGAGGAAAAACAGCAAATCACTTTAATTGTTGACTGGGAGGCGCTAGAAGTCAAGGGGTTCGTGCCAATTGTTCTACTTCTCGCTTGGTTATACTTTTTTATTGCAGTTACGCTTGAACTATTTACTTTTGTTTTTGTCGCCCAACCCAATTACGTCATATTTCAAGATGGCAACCGCAACGCGAAAACGGTATGTACGCAGTACTTCGTGCATCTCGGAGAGCTCGCGCCATTTAGTTAATTTAGTGGCGGATGTTGTCTCCATATCGTCCTGTAACGTTTGGTTGACAACGTATTTGTTTTTTTACAGCTTATTGCGATAGCTGTAAAAAATTCATTCTCATTATCGCGAACTGTTTGAAGAAAAAAACGCACTTCACCAACAGGAATCGATCCTGGCTTCGTTGTGTTTGGAGCGGGTGACATGCCACGGAGCTACGCCACTTCTAAACTTTTTTTAACAATTTTATTTACATGATGTACATACACTGTCAGCGGGTCATATAGTAGTTATTAAAATAAATGATGCACATTAAAAAGAGAAAGAGTGAGAACTTCAATGTGGCCAGAGTCCTCTGGTTCCCTGAGCAGCGAGCATCGGGGAAACTGCCGCACCTCCCCCGAGAGGACAAAGACGTGGCGAACCAGTTCGGCGCACCCTGGTTCCCACGCAGGCGGACGTGCCGGTCTCGGAGTCGTCATGCCTCCAGCCGAGATTCCACTTCCCGCTACTCCAAACTTGCAGGCCGCCCGTCCTTCACCGCGATAGAGAGAAGCCACCCTGAGTTTTGACGTGAAATATGTGCCACGTTTGCCTGGCGTCAGTGTGACACTCCACCATGGCAGTGCGAACTAACCAAATGGCGTGGAGCCCAAACAGTACTATTGCCTTAACAATGTCTATGCTGTCCGTAGCGCGAAGATCCAGGTACTTAAAAGAGTTCCATTCTATGTCACAATCTATCCGTAACGCCACACGCACCTCGTCCCAAAACAGGCAGGTGTTTGAGCACTCTACAAACACGCGTGTTAAAGAGTTCGCCACACAGGCTGCAGTTCGTTGACCAGGGCACAAAATTCTCCTGGTCTCCAACCGCATTTTCACCGGCAGCACCTGGAGGTGGACTCTTAAAAGAAGTCCTTGCTGCTAGCCGGGACGTTGATTCTCTTCACCGGCCTGAAGAGTCCTCCCACGCCTTGGGGAATTGAGTCCATCGGCACTGAGAGCACGATGAAGAGCGTGTCCCGGTATAGCTTCCTGCGGCTTGATTTCTGAAGATAGTCCCACAAGAAAATACGAAAAAAAAAAAAACTCCGCGTAGAATTGCGCCCGTTCCCTTAGTGCTTCTGCTCGTGGTGCTCACCATCCACCTGTCGAGTCACGGGTAGCCGGGATGATGGAGGGCGCCCATGAAGACAGGTTCACGCTTGTCCCTCAATAGCAGGAAACGCTGGACATGAACTTTTAGGACCGGATTCACCAGACCCAATTATCCGGCTTCCAGGCTCAAGAAGAGGTTGCTGCGCCGCGTACTTTCCACCGACGATCTCCAGATGAAGGTCAGCCAGCTGCAATGGATCCGCTGGGCGGTTGATTTCATGCAGCAGGCGGCCTGCGCCTGCTGGATAGGACACGCTGGATAGGACACGGCGTTGCAAACGTAGGCTCTGTTGAAAAACGATAAGCACCTGCCGATTCACGGACAAAGTTTGGCCCGCATGGCATTCGTTTTTAGACGCCACCCTTCCACTGTGGGTTCACGTTCGACGATCGGAGCTCTCAGGTAGCTTTTTCGCCGTCGTCGCCCAATCTATTTCTGAAAATGTTCTGGGCTTCGTAGCCCACCTTCCGATCCAAGCTCTGGTCAATATTTTCGTGTAGATTTCCGCTGCGGAAACACAAGGGCTGTGACGTGCCTCAGAGCGGCCTCCCCTTTTGCTTTGGAGGCGCAGATGAATGCCACAGCATCGGCGCAGGTGAAAAGTTTCAGGTGTTGATTCCGAATTGTAAGCCCCTCTCTGGACTTGTCTTGGATGATGGCCGGCCAGAGTGGTTCCAGTTGGAGGGCGAAAAGTATGGAGGTGTCACATGTTCGAGACATTCAAAAAAAAAAAATACCCTATTTCTATGAAAACAACTTTATATTTTGATAGAACCGCTGGCCGGGCGATAGGTCCACGCCCTGGAGGACGAACTCACTGAGGTGAGATGATTATAGCGCGTGATTATAGTTCTCTTCCTTTATTTATAAAACATAAAATACTTGACGTATCTAACATGTACTCTAATAGATTAACTGTCACAGAATATATTAGTGATTTTTGACCTCGCTAAACTTGAAATCAATGTATCATTATATCCCTCACGTCATTGGCATTCATGGCGAATCCCATCATCTAGAACTAATTTTGGCTTCCAGAGGTTGAGTTAGAGATTACCGTCACTGTTAAACACCTTATATTCCCAAGAAGTTGATTCACCTTCATTAAATGGCCATACAACTCAGGCTTTCTTATATTGAGTGAAAATGTTTGTCTTATGTTTATTATATCTTCTACATCAGTCTGTTTTGAAGCGCAACTTATTTTCAGTGACACTTATTTTATACGACATCTTATATAAGTTACCTTTATTGTGTTTTGCATTCGTGTCTGGAGGTGATTGTTAATAAACTTTCGTTAAATGTCCATAAAATTTAAACTTTGCGGTAATAAATAGAATGTTTGTCTTGTGTTTATTATATCTATCTATTTCAATGTGTATTAAGATGATACTTAATATATTGCTAAATGTCATGTTACGTAAGTTATTAGGTTCACTATGTTTTTTTTTGTGTGTGTTTGTGATGACAGTGCCGCTCTTGCCTGTGTTTTAGGGGGCAAGAACCCGTCAAGCTGCAAACTTGCAGCTTTTTTTCCTGGCCCCCCTTGTCACATGTGTGTAAAAGCGCTGTGACAACAATAAGCAGATTCTGATTCTGAATAAATGAGGAGTTGTTAGGGAAATAAACGTTCTTTACTCAAATGACAAAAAATCAGCGCAAAACTTAAAACCCCAAAAACACGTCATAGGGAGGAAAAAAATAGCTTAACTTAAATAACGCGAGGCGCTGATCCAGAAGAAAAAAAAAATAAGAATACAGTAAAAATATCGGTGCAGCCGCAAGTGCTAACATCCTTGAAAACACACTAGCGTGGACAATATGCTAAATCCCGACAAAACAGTAAAATTGAAATCTACTCTCCAACTGGTACTAATTAGAACTAAAAGAGAAAAAGTTACAGGTGAGAGGCGCGAACCTGTGCCCAAGGTCGTTGTCACGTGGTCATCGCAGGTTGCAGGGGGCCTTGTGCAGACGCCTCTCGGCGCAACACTCCCTCACGAGCACACACACTCGGAGCCCTGAGACGTCACCGCGATGCCCCAGAATTGCGGCCCTCCGAGTTCTTCCCGTGCGTCGGGAACTGACTATCGCTAGCGCTGTGAACTCCAACAACACCACCAAAGCACCACCCGTAGCATACCACTGGCCGAGTCTTCGCTTCGCATACCGCCTACTACCTAGCCGCAGCGCATCAGATCTCGGCTGCTCCGCCGACGTGAACGCCGTACAGTGTGCAGACGAGCGTAATACGATATTCGTGGAGTTCGAGTTGGCTATCTCTGGGTGTATGGTGGCTGAAAGGGGAAGTGTGTCGGGCGCCGTATGCGCGCAATGGTATAAAGGGGCGCGATACGCGATGAAAAATTTGAGAGCCTAGATTGTAGAGAGGGTCCATCTCAAACCATGGGGAGCGTTTGCCATTTAATGGCGGACGCCACCGGCGAAGATTGGTCGCAAGTGCGCATGCGCTGCGTTCTTGCGTGTCGAGGAGGAAAGCGGGCGGAGAGGCTGAGAGGCCTCGCAGACGACCGACGCCTTCGTCACCTCCTCGCAGCTCGTGTTGCAAACGCGGCCCGTACACCACGTGACTCCGATCGCGCAGCCTGGAACCTCTCTAATGTAGGCTCTCTCAAAATGTTTGGCACCGGTGAACTCGTCTGCCTGCTGTCTGCTGGCCCATAGCGGTCCCCAAGAATTTCTTCACGGGATTTTCGTCGCGTAATTTAGGCGCACAATCCATTTAACGGGTGAGAGGTGCGTAATTCATGTAGGTACATTTTACATTTTCCAAGCGAGAGCTAAAATGAAT